ACAAACATTCAATCTTCAAAAGTGATTGAAATATCAATCTTCCATGATCATCCTTCAAACCTCCATAAGAAATCAAAGTTTCTTTTGAAATCAACCCACTTAACACCAATCCATAAAATTGATATTCGTTGACTTTGTATTTCACATCTTTAACAATCACAACCCAATAATCATACTCCAAACGCACCATGATCACAAAAACTTGAAGATTTCTAAAGAGAGAAAGTGATTTTGAATGGGTTTTCTAGTGCGAGAAAGTAAAAATCACTTGAATTCTAGTGAAGAAAATCGAATTATGAATAAAATCAATGATGAGATCGATTTCTAGAATCCAAAAACTCTCTAAAACACGAAGATCAAAGATCAAAAAATGAATCACCAAATCTAGAAAGCCACCATGGATCAATTCTTGATCAAATCAAGAACACCCGCTCTGATACCAATTATAGTGGTGTTGATTATGATGGCATGTGCGGAATTAGAAAAGATCTAGTGAATCATCATGTAAACTCAAGAACACAAGGAGTGAATAAATCTGTGTAAGCTCATATTAGATCTAGAAAGGATATACAAATGGGTTTGTACAAAGTTTCTCTCTCTAGTCTAACACTCCAAATGGTTCCTTACATAATGGGAGTCACTCACTTCCTATTTATAGGAAAGACTCAACTCATTTACACATACAAGAAGGTAAAACCTAAGACTCCACATCCAAGCATGACTTTGTATCCTAACAGTTAGACCTTACTTTGCATGGACTATATAAGAGATGCACGAGGCTTGTATTTTTGGTGAGTGAAACACTCTCTTCTTCCTCCTTTTTTCACTCTAAAACCGTAAGTCATGAAGTGCTCCAACTATTTGAAGTTTGGTGCTTTACTTTGGTGATTAGAAGCCTTCTTGAGTTGTCTCCTTTAGTGCTTATTTGAGTTAAGTAGTTAAATGATTTAGACACTCAAGAATACAAGAAGGAACTAGCATTCAAAGTGATTTACTATTGATGGTGGATACTTGTAGAGAAATCATATTTTTGATTTTTGCTATCTTCATCAACACCCCAAAACCAAGTTTGTTCAAAGGCATCAAAGGTTATCTCTAAAACATCGTATTGTTGGTTTTTTTTTTATATATTTCATTCTAACCTTTATAAATGGATCCATGATGGTTTGGTTTTGTTATGAACTAAAAATAAACTTGTTATTTTAAAGTCTTCCGTTGCAGGTTTTTTGTGAAAAACAAACTTATATTTTGTATCAAAACCCATCATTACGATGGTTCGTTTTCCAAAGGTTATGCAAGTAAGCAGATAAGTTGACGAAACTTTTTTCATGTTTGCTATATGAGAGACTCATTTTAAAGCAGTTATAAAACACAATTAAGAATATTTGATTGTAAGTGAAAGAAAAATAGATGGAATACACATGTTATGTAAGGGAGACAAATCTATTTTTTGGTGTCCAGAAATAACATTCTGTAATACGGATATTCAGTCCGAAATGTCAATCCAACATGTACGATTTTAACTACGTTGTCCAAAATTAACTACGTCAGTCCGGAATGTATGTCTATATATTTTGTATTCAAAAGTCTACCTACCACCACCTACTCTAGAATGAATATTACTACTCCAGAATGGCCAAAATCCGAAGTAGGTTGTCATATTTTAAAATTTGAAAAAAATGATTATTTTTATTAAATTACTCATGTCGAGTGGTTAGTGTACTCAATTTCACTTATATTATTCTAATAAATGTTTATCTTATAATATCGTTTAAAATAATTATAATATGTATCAACTTACTATTATTTCAAAATTAACGCTAACAACATAATTTTATTCAATAATACGTATATGACAAAAAATTAACCACATAATTCAATTACGCCCAATGCGACGACATTCGCCTAGTATTTTTACAAATCGGGTATTAGAATTTGTGGAGGATCCATCGTCAACCTATCTTTGTTTAGTGAAGGGTTCTGCCCGTGGTTGTTTGCCCATAAGGAATCCATACATATCGGAACTAAAACTTTGACACTGAGGTAACTCTACAAAGATACCGTCTCACCCTCGTGGTTTCTTTCTTTTTCTTGAAGTTGAGGGTAGAGTACCTTCTTCTCATCCCCATTAGTGGTCAAAGTACTCAATTGTCATGGAAAGCCAGATGCACTATTAATAACCTTTTGTACTTTGAAGCAGAGTTTGGATACACAAAATTGAAGTATGGTAGTTGAGTATGTTTGAGGCTCCCCAACATTTTAAACATCCAATAGATACATAGTTGTTTTTCTATCAAATACATAGTTGTTTTTCTCTTATTGTTCATTTTTTGAAGCAATTTTATGATGATTCATTTGATAAAAAAAAAAAAAAACACAAAAACTCTAAAAGACTTAAACTTTGATCCTGAGGGGTGTGATAATTTAGGGTGAAATGAGAGTAGGGGTCAAGCGTATGGAGGCATAATGGCCCTGGTATGGTAAAAAAGAACCAAAGAGGTTCAATAATTGAAAAGTGGTGTAATGAGATGACTCTTTTAAAGCAGACAAAGGACTTAGAAGAAAAGAAAAAAGAAAAAAAGGATTCTTTCTCACCCTCTCTTAAATTCTTCAAAGATAATACCGAAATAATGAACTTGATTCTATCTGAACGAGAAGCAGATTATACTGCAAAAAAATATATCTCTATTAACTATGGATCTTAACTATTTTAGGGAAAATTACAAAATGGGTTCTGTTTTATGGTTGGATTGATTTACTCCCATCATTACAACAATCAAAAAAAAGAATTTAAGGGTGGGGTGAGGGTGGTCGGGTGGATATTTCTTTCTCTTACCCCTTCCCCCACCACCCTTCACAGTACAAAATTTCCTTTTTCTTTTTTCCCATCACCACTCTCTCTCTCTCTTACCTTTTCCAAAAACACCTAATTATTCCTACTGGAAAATCTGTCTCCATGAATATAAATATATGACTTTGTCATGCAAGAATTTCATGCAACCCTAATCTTGTTTATTTTTTCCCATTTTTGCTAGCTAGTATAAATCTTATTATATAATAAAAACAAACATATAGATATACCCACATGAAAAAAAGAACGATAAAAATCCTTTCTTGATAATAATAATATATTCATTAAACGATATATGAGATGTAGTACTAGGGTCATGGGCTACACTACTGTGTTGATTTGTCAGTCAAAACATATATATCGTTGTTTAACCAGAGTCCAAAAGGATGGAGCACTTACATTACCCTGTTCAGTATGTTTTTTTCTGCCATCACTGAAACGGCGTCGTTTAGCTCATTGTCAAGGCACTTCTCATCAGACAAGCTAGCTATGATATGAATATGAACCCACCCTATTGGCACATACTATCCATATAGCTTAGCTATAGCAAAAGAAGCCTAGCGAAATGCGTAAGTAGTCAGCAGTAAGCTGTATGCAGTAAGCATCAGAGAGGAGTATTACTCCACTAGTGTATGTGTCTAGACCCTTGTAGACATTGACAATTGTAGAACCTCCAAAACCGATAAATATCAAACTTATTTACGTATTTAAGGCTTACTGTTGTCACCCTATGAGAAGCTTACAACTGGGCTTTTTTTGTCTTTTTGCTTCTTGTGAAAAGAAAATCTATCTTAGCTTCTTTCTTTCTTTCTCTCTCTTGCAGTTCACTGAGCATCATCAGACCTTCTTTCATAACTTTGATTGTCATGTCTTTGGATATCTTTTACTTTTCTTGTCTTTGAATCTTTTGGAAGGATTCAACTTAATCACTTGACATCTTGTTCTTCCGATATTGAAATATTAACCAATTAAAGATTGGATAAAAGGAGTGATTCAAAGGATCAAAATCTATATAACTTGTTTAGTGAAAAAGAAAAGGGTAAGAGTGCAAGTTTCATCTTTTGAATATCCAAGTCAAATCTTGAAGGATGCTATTCTTGTATATAATCGTTTGACAAGAAGTATAAATAACATGTGGTTTAATATATTTGTGTGACAAGTATACTTAATTATATGACTATTAGACAAAGTATATTAATTCTTAATTCTTTTTTGTTAATGGACTCCTTTTTATTTTTTTTAGATAAGTGGAATCCGTAATCATATTTGTGTGACCACAGAATAAGATCTTGACCTTTTTATGATCCTTTTAGTACATACGGATTATGTTAACAAGTCTAGGGTTGAGAGATATAAAGAGGTTAAAGAATATACCATAAATTGCATATAAATGCACATTATACACATTACATATCACATCTATATATCCATGTATCACACATAAAGTAAAATAAAAAAAAAAAAAAAAAAAAAAAAAAAAAAAAAAAAAAAAAAAAAAAAAGAATAGAGAGAGGAAAAGCAAAAGAGGTGGTCTTTCTCAAGCACGGATCCCAATGGTATGCAGGAAGGATGCCAGCATTGTTTGCTGTAAACTCATTCTTTTTGTATAAGTTTAAAGGAAGTTGCTTTGTTCTCCTTTAGAAATCTTTTCAGAGTGAAGGGCAGATAAAGAACATCTCGGATAAATTTTTATTTAACAAATTTATCTTAGTGATCAGTTTGTGCTTTGCTAGTTGCTTTGCTACCTTTTGATTTGATTTATTATAAATATATATACTCCTTGTGTGTATATCTATATAGATTCTGTTTCTATAGAAACCACAACTTGGAAATAAAAACAAAAAAGAAAAGAAAAGAAAACACTCTACACCTTTCTTACTTCATTCCACCTCGCTTGTTATTAGTTTTCAAAAATGGAGGGAACGCAAAGTATGATTAATTAGTTTTCATTTTTCAATCTCCCCAATGATTCAGTAAGCTTTAGCGATCCCTTTTTCTTTATTCCAAGTGTGTGAAAGTGAGTTCGATACTTAGAAAAATGAAGTCCATAATCAACAACAACAACAACAACAACAACAACGAACACAATGACGACAACAAAAACAGTAACAACAACAACAACTGGTTGGGTTTCTCTCTTTCACCTCATATGAACACAACCACTACAACATCAACAATGGAAGGTGCACCACCTTCCGAAGCTTCGCATCATCCTTCTTCTTCATCAAACCCCACAACTTATTTCAACCTCCCTTCGCATTTCAACTACCCAAACATTTATTGTCATGGAGTCGAAGGTGAAAATGGAAGTGGGCTTTACTCTGGTTTCCCTATTATGCCCCTCAAATCCGATGGTTCCCTTTGCTTAATGGAAGCCATCACCAGATCACAATCACAAGGTTCGTTTTCGTTTTTTGTTTTTTGTTTTTTGTTTTCTAGTTTTTTGTTTGTGTTATCGCTCATTATCTTTCCTTTTATGATTATAAAGTTTTCAAACAATGTATTGTCTTTTAGGAATGGTTAGTTCGACTCCACCAAAACTTGAGAATTTTTTTGGAGGTGTAACAATGGGGACCCCTGACTTCGACAGAGGAGGAGCTACAATGGCTCTTGGTTTAGATAGTAGTACAATGTACTACAACCAAAATCCTGATCATCATGAGACTCTACAACACAACCATAGACATCACCAACACCAGATTCAAACCCAACACTACCCAGATTACTCCGGTTTCAGAGCTTTGTACCAAACAGTACAACAAGAGGAAGTCAAAGAGGACCAGAATATCGTTTCAGATACTTGTAACCTTCATCTACCGAGTATCGGAGAAGATGACGACATCACTGGTATGAAGAACTGGATTTCAAGAAACTATCATTCCGGCGTTGGTTCCGGCGATCATGGTGGTGGTAGTGGCGGTGGTTATGGAGATTTACAGTCGCTTAGTTTGTCAATGAGCTTCGGAAATTGTTCGCAGTCAACCCCATGTGTTACTGGATCGCATTCACAGCAACAAATCATGCCTCCTGCTAATGTCGCTGATTGCGTCGTTTTGGATACGAAGAAACGAGGTTCTGAGAAAGTGGATCAACAGAAGCAGATTGTTCATAGAAAGTCGTTGGATACATTCGGTCAAAGAACCTCTCAGTATAGAGGTGTTACAAGGTTCATTAACTTAATTCTCGCTATTTCTTCAATCTTCAACTACTTTATCTTTCTAGTTTTTATAAAATAAATGACTCTGAATCTGAATCTTTATCAGGCATAGATGGACTGGAAGATATGAAGCACATTTGTGGGACAACAGTTGCAAGAAAGAGGGCCAAAGTAGGAAGGGAAGACAAGGTTAGAAATGAAAACACCATTATTAAACGATGTTGACTTTTATACTTTGTCATATCGTTTTATGTTTGACTAATAATTACGACACATTCTTACCAATTTTTATGTTTCTTGTTTGCTGGATTGAAACGTGTGCATCAGTTTATCTGGGTAAGCCTCAGTTTCTTGTTTTCATATAATTTGTTTATAGTTTCTACAAAAAGATAGAAAATTAAATGAGTTCGCGATGTTAATATTCATATTAATGATTTATAGGTGGTTATGATATGGAAGAGAAAGCTGCTAGAGCTTATGATTTAGCAGCACTTAAATATTGGGGTCCTGCGACTCACATAAATTTTCCGGTATTTTTTCACTGTTCCTTAAACATGTTAACTAACTAATTTAATGATCACATAGATATTATTTAAACACTAGCATTTTATTAATTATTATGTTTTTAATTAATTTCTCAGTTGGAAAACTATGAACACGAAGTTGTGGAAATGAAGAACATGTCGAGACAGGAATATGTAGCTCACTTAAGAAGGCAACTAGATCTTTGAACTTGCATATTCTATAATATTTTAATTATTACTAGCCGATATTATTTAATGTGTTTAAAAACCAATAATTTATTTTTGGTTTTAATGTTTTCAGGAGAAGCAGTGGTTTCTCTAGGGGAGCCTCAGTCTATAGAGGAGTAACAAGGTCTAGAAATGTCTAAACTTATACATCATAATTGCTATATATATCATTAAAAAAAAATACAACATATTTAAAATGTTTTGTTTTCTTGTTTTTTTTTTTTAAATAAATTTCAGACACCATCAACATGGTCGATGGCAAGCTAGGATCGGCCGTGTGGCAGGGAACAAAGATCTTTACCTTGGCACATTCAGTAAGTAAAAATTTAAATTCTTATGAATATAAATTTTTGATTTTTTTTAAAGGTTAATAACCAATACTTGAAATTAATTAACTTTTTTATAATTGAATCTGTCTTTTCATAAAAGAATAAGCAAGACACTGATATATATGAATGCTTTTAAAACACACCCTAATGCCAGACCCTAAAATCTCTGAAAATCTTGACTTTTAAGAAGATGATCAAAGCTGTTTTTGTCAACAAAGAAGGCTGATTTTATCAAGAGCATCTTCTGATCACTCTCTTCCATCCAATAGCCAATGCATGTTTTTGTGTCATTTATGTCTTTCCTGTATTTTCAGTTTTTGGTACAAGTCACAAAAGTATTGTTGAGTGGGACCCGACTTACTTCTACATTATTCTTTTCCCTCTTCATTTTCTCATTCCATGTAATAACTTTGCACTTATCTTCTACACTAGTGTAATTACTAATTACTAATTACTAATTGCATTTCCGTACATCTTAAAAAAAACGATCTTTTCTATTATCTTCTACACTAGTGTAATTACTAATTACATTTACGTACATCTTTAAAAAAAACGATCTTTTCTTTTATCTTTTACACTAGTGTAATTACTAATTACATTTACGTACATCTTTAAAAAAAAAGACGATCTTTTCTTTTATCTTCTACGCTAGTGTAATTACTAATTACATTTACGTACATCTTTAAAAAAAACGATCTTTTCTTTTATCTTCTACACTAGTGTAATTACTAATTACTAATTACATTTAGGTACATCTTTAAAAATACGATCTTTTCTTTTATAACAGGCACCCAAGAGGAGGCAGCTGAGGCTTACGATGTAGCTGCTATAAAATTTCGTGGGGTGAATGCAGTAACGAATTTTGATATTTCAAGGTATAACGTTGAAAAGATTATTGCGAGTAATACCCTTTTAGCAGGAGAGTTAGCTAGGCGAACCAAAGTAGACCCCACAAACGAGCTCTTGTGTGAACAACCAAATATTAATGGCGAACCTAAAACCATGTCAAGTGAGCCCACAATAAACAGGAACATGTTGGACTGGAAAATGACACTTTATGATCAGAATGGAAGTAGTAATGGAGTTGGAATCGAGGGAGATGAGTCCTCTAAACTTGGAACGCATTTGTCGAATGCTTCTTCATTGGTGACAAGTTTGAGTAGCTCGAGAGAAGATAGCCCTGAAAGAAACAATAATAATAATAATAATAATCTTCCGATGGTTCTTGAAACACCACCATCGGCTTCCAACTTTCTTGGTGGTTCATCGGGTGGTGGAGTCGATGCATGGATTCCAACAGCAGCGACTCAGATGAGGCCACATATTCCTGTTTTTGCTGCATGGACAGATGCGTGATAATGCATGGAAAACCCTAGAAAAAAAAAAGGAAAAGAGCAAGTGGGGTCTCTTTTTTTTCTTATTTTTTTTTCGATATGTATGGATTAATTTGAATTGGGAAGGGGTAAATTCAGTTCTAATTAAATTAAATGAATCTTGCAAATTCATGTTAACAAAGATCGCGCGTTCTCTTTTTCGTCTGAATAAATGCATGAAATGTTGTTATATTTAATATATAACTTGAATTGAAGGAAAATGATGAAAGATGTTATTTCATGACAGAATGATTCCATTACCATAAGTTCAAGTTTTATGATTAGATTTGGCTTTCTTTTTGCTAATGGTCCAATATGAAGTACAAGAATTGAACCCAGCTCAGTCTTTCCAATAATGCAAAAGATTGTGTTTGTTTCTTTTGACCTATTAATGTTTTGTAATATTTGAATTGCATGTCACCATGCAATATCTATCATTTTATATTAATGAAAAGCTTAATTTCATCATTACTTCCGTTTACTTTCTTATCAGATTACTTTTAGTCCAATCACTATGAAGAAAAAGAATTACAAAATCAATAGTCATACTCTTTAGCAACTAACTTTTCTTCCTTTATCATATTTACAAATATATTTGTTTTTTTTTTTCCTTTTTGTATACCGACAGAAGCAATAGTTTTTGTTTTGCGATATGTTCATACAAGCACAATTTCTATATTTATTGGTGAAGAAAAGGGAGAAATGTAGATGGAGTGGGTGTGAAAAAGTGGACTTTTGGTGGTGGTTTTGCTTTACGATTTTGATGTAAATTTTTTTTGCCTAAATTTGGTGGAAACTAATGATGATTTTGAACATTAAAGTAGTTAACGTGGGCTTTTTTCGTAACCACATCATTACATATTCATATAATCATTCGCTTAAAGTAAACTTGCTTCAATCAACATTCCTCGTGTGGGTCTCAACTTTCAACCTTTGACCATCATCTCATTTGACACCTACATCTATAATTCTGTTCATGTTTCGTTCTTATCGGAATACTATTTATATATAATTACTGTTATAGTATTTTTTACATAAGATGTATCGAACTTTCTTTTACTACAATTTTAATAAATTTTGATGAAATAACAAAATAGAGTGCCAGTGTCAACATTGTTTCATTAGACGATTAAAAATTTTAAGGGTGAAGATTTATGGTATTCACAAATATATAATTTTATATACATCGTGGTATCATTGATTTTGTTACAAATGTATAAGTTGTTTATTTCGTCGCACTATTTACAAAAAAGCTACGAATAAATATTTTGTTTTTGTTATTTGAGTATTATACAACATTTATGTCCTTTCAGGCAGCAACATTTTCAAACTTTTTCCAAGTTATGTCCCCGAAATTGCATGAAAAACAGGAAAGAATGATTGTTATTTCATGCAAAAGCAGATCTGTACGTAAAGCTGGAAATTTTTTAACTTTGGACCAAGTAGAAATGGTTATTTAAAAAATGAAAACTTATTAAAATATATAATAACAGTTTTTTATATAATATTAACCAGTGTTGTAAAAATCCCGATTTGGTTCCGATTAATCCCTAGGCGCTACTCGACCGATTAGAGAGCGCCTAACGATTAATCCATGCATACAAAATAACTGAAATAGTAGAACCCGATGAAATTAATCCCTAGGCGCTACTCGAGGAGAAACATACCAGTGACCACTGTGGGGTCGGCAACCGCCTCCTCATGGCCTATAGCCAAAACTCTTCCTACTCCACCGGCATTCCCTGCCTTGGGGCAGTTCCTCTTGTAGTGGCCCACATCGCCACAGTTGTAGCAAGATTGGCCCACTCCAGCGCCGGGGACTTGGGTGATTGGCCTTGCCGGAGATTTACAGAAACGGGCTGTATGCCCCTTCCTGTTGCAGTTTACACACTGCATGTCCCGACAGGCTCCCATATGATGGTAGTTGCACTTGTTGCATAAAGGCAAACTTCCAGAATACTGCTTTATTGGAATAGCAGCAGTGGCAGGTGCTGTCGCACTTTGAATTGCCACCGTCTGCTGTTTCTTCGCAACCTTCTTCTTTTTCTTGTCCTCCCAGAATTTCCGCTTGGACTCTGCAGTTCTGGCGGTTTCTGAGATGGCCAGGGTGGTTGTTGCAGCCGGGGTACGGACCCCGTGGTCAACTAGCTGCTGTGCCAGTCGCTTGGCACTATCAAATGTAGTAGGGCGTGATGACAATACATTTCCCTGGTATGGTGGCACCAGCCCCCATATATACCTCTCGATCTTCTTTCCCTCTGTATGAATCATGTTGGGACAGAGGGCCACCAGTTCACAGAACCTGGCGGTATATGCTACGATGTCGGTGCCTTTCATGGTTAGGCGCCAAAGTTCTTCCTCCAGCTTTTGGATCTCGCCCCTCGGGCAGTACTCCTCAATCATGAGGTCTTTTAAAGTATCCCAGCCCATATCATTTGCCACTGAAAGAGATAATGACTTAACATGGCTATTCCACCATGTTAGGGCTCTGGTTTCAAAGGTGCAAGCAGCGAACTTCACCTTGCTCCCTTCTGGACAGGAGCAGATTGCGAAAACCGATTCGGTTTTCTCAAACCATTGCGAGAGTACAATGACTCCGCCAGTTCCTCTGAAGGATAATGGCTTGCAGTTTGTAAAATCTTTGTAGGAGCACTCTCTCGAGCGCACAGGGGTTTCAACCTGTATTGTTGGAATAGGAGTCCCTCCTCCAGTGGAACTTGAAGAATGATATTCAGCCATGGCTGTTGCCACAGCCGCAGCTACAGCAGCATTGAGGGCTGCTGTATCAAATTGAGGAATAGGTGGTGGAGGATTACGTCTTGTTGACTTTCGTGGAGGCATCTTTTTGCTGAAAGTTTAGAATGAATAAGATATTGATGAGAATTTGACATGAACATTGATGAGAATGAATCATGGACTAACTCTCCATAGCCCAACAGCATAATTAAATGGAATACTTGAATGAAGATGAAAGTATTTGGATAATAATTTCCATTAGATTTTTATATCTGTCAAAGATATTGGAATTACAGATGTAATGAGTTTGGGGAAAAATGACCTAGAAGTAGGTCTTACATCATCCAAGATGGGAAAATTTTGACAGCATACTACCTAATCAAAACCTAGCAGGTCTGAGATTTATAAGGATAGGAAATTAGACTTAAGTTTTTACATAACTAAGTTATATCCAAAAGAGAAGTTGGTACGATTCTAACGACGACGAGAACTGTTTGAGTGAGTCCTTGAATCCGAAAGCAGACGTTCAATGTCTCTTACGCGTCTATCAGTCCTTGCTTGTTGAGCTCGAAGTTCCCTGACTTCGGCTCGGGTTTCAGCAAGTTCTCTTTGAAGCAGAGCATTACCGACCTGAGCCCTTTCATGAGCGGACTCCAGCTGGCGTATGCGGACAGTGTTAATACCAGAATTGGCATCCACTTCTACTACCCGGTCGATAGCTGCTCGACCCTGCTCGGTGTTCCGAGCAATCCTACGAACCATGATAGGTAGGACCCTATCAGCTGAACCTCCCTCAGTGAGGTTGTAGAAGCTTCTATCTCCATTGTAAGGAAAAGGTTGACCTTGTTCCTGACTCCACCTATTCAAGTTTGTGGCCCACAAAGGTGTGGGTCCTTGAAATGCAGGACGAGGGTTTGGGTTTTGAACAGCTGGGAGTTGGTTGTTGACTTCTGGCTCCGAGTCGGAACCATCAGAAAACAATTCAGCTTCATAATCATCTAAAGGAATTGGGTGATTATCTTCTGGTTCTTCTTCCAGCCATTCTGCGTTGTCGTGGTTGGGAAAGTATGGGTCTCCGGGAAGATAAAATCCAGCTATTAAATCTACGCGAGAGAAGGGATATAAGAAAGAACTAAATTAAACTAACTAACTAAATAAATAATTATAAGATGATCTTTATCAGTTGCCTCAATACTTGTTTAAAGCATACCAGTTATATGTCATGCAGACGGGATAGACCTTCGAATAAGTAACCCTAACCCTAAGCCCACAACCAAACAAGGAACAGGAAGTAAGGCAAAGATCACAGATTCTAAGTCTATGACATCCTAGTACATATGACTTTAGTGTATCCACTAAACAACCATTGATATACTAATAAAGACCTTTAGTTCTCGAATATGTAATTATAATGACACAAAATACTCCTATAGTATTTTAAGTTTAATGTTTTGTTCTACTGTTCTCGTTGTAGAAGTGTTGGTAAGTTTTTAGACTTGTTGCAACCTCACAACCACACTTAGGCACACGCTAATCACTCCTCGGATAATGTAGTTGATCAGGCTACATCTTCCCAGGGTTGACCATATGTCTCTAAGTATGCTTATGCTGTCCAACAATCGTAATACTTTTGTTCTGTCCTAGTGACACTGATTTTAGTATGAATGCATGTATGTATACTTTATTAAATACTTTATTATTTAAAGTATAAACTCTTTATCAGAGTATTTTAAATCCCGCTTGTGTTTATAGTTCGTATATCTTTTATGGGTTGATACACTCGATTCACTATAAACAATGCTCTGATACCAATCTGTCACACCCTCAAAACCAAATGAACGGCGGAAACGTTCTGGGGTGGAGGACGTCATGTACAGTATCACAACAATGCAAGTAGTAAACAAGCAACAACATCATCCATTGCATTAATAATATAATTTCATACAAGTGTGTTCCGTTAAGTTTTAAAGACACCAAAACAATATACATCAAAATATAAGATGAGTCTTGAACGAGCTCCATCTTCTCAAAACCTGGCTCCGGTACCTGTCTACTGGTGACCTGAGAATACAAGTTATTTTGAAAGAGTTTATCAGCTTTAGAGCTGGTGAGTTCATAAGTATATTAGTGTCTGTGTTTGTATGAAAGCATTTGTAAGATGTTTTGTAAGATGTACTGTGTGTTTGTAAAAGTTTTGTATTTGTTTGAACTATCCTAGAAAACCCTATGTTTCCTACTAAAAGTAGC